TAGGGTTGTCACGATACTAAAATTTTCAACTCAGGAAAATACTCGATACTAGATACCATTTTCGATACCACAAGGATAAAAACAAAGAGCCCAAAATTTAACTGAATTTTGACAGGTTAGTGTCTTTGGCTTCAAACTGACCTGTTTCTGATGTTATGGTGGCCCACATTAATGACTCTAATCCTAACCCTAACCCTAACCCTAACCCTGACCCTACAGCCTTCATAATTGTGAGAAATAAATATTTTTTGGTTAAACTTGTTTGGACTTATTCTACAAACCTATTCAACATTACACTATTTTAACATAATATTATGGATAGAGTTTAATTAAGTGTTCGAAAGATTAATTTCACTATTTTTGTACTTGACTAATGGTAGCATGTCATTATTAGCCATTAGCCGCAGCTAATACTTCAAGGATAACATCTTTTTAATGATCATAAACAACGTAAATAAATACATAAATAAATCAGAGAGAAGGGGCGCAGCGACGGTGGTATCGATACTTTTGAAAATGAGTATCGTATCCGGATACAACATTTTAGTATCGATACTTTTTCAAGTATCGATACTTTTGACAACCCTACTATTGAGTTGTGCTATTTTTAGAGCAGGCCTGCGGGCGACTTGTGTGGTCCTTGCGGGAGACCTGGTGCCCTGTGTTGGTGACTCCTGGTCATGCAATCACAAATTTTTTAATTTTGTAATGTCATTGTCTGAACGTGTGTCTCTCTGTTTTAACTGATATTGTATTATGTGATTTTGTGTTGTTTTTTTATCTTCCTGCCTCAGGACGACAGATGCGAATTAGCAACTATGCTAGAATCTGGCTCATTTACAATCTGTATGAGATTGTTCATTAACTCATTGGCTGCCAAAGACGTCTATAGACGTCAATTCAAATACAACCGTTGACTGCCAAAGACGTCTATAGACTTCTTTTATGTTTTTCAATGCGAGTGGCTTGGGGAACGATCGGCTAAAGTTTTTCCGTAAATATCGGCTTCTAAACAGAGTATGTAGTAACAAATTGACCCTCTAGGGGGCAGTGCCACTTTTGATGGGAGATTAGCATAGACTGTAGGCAAATAAAAACAAACGCAATGGTTCGCTATGCGAGAAATGGCGCCGGTGAGACGCACGTCGAAGAAGAACGGAATAAGGTAGAAACACTTTTTCTTTCCTGATGAAAGAAGAGAGTCTACTCTTTCTTTTGGTGTGTTCGGTGTTTACATAGTCATAGCACAAACTATTCTGTGGCTCTTGAAAAATCAGTCAG